CTCCAGTTCTCGTCTGATCGCGGCTGGTTCCGTCTGGTGCAGTGCGGTCTCGGCAGTCCCGTGCTATCCTGTGCGGGACGATTGAAAGGATGGTGGCGTCGCCGTACACTCAGGTGGAAATGGTCTTAACTTTGCACAATAAGCTGACGGCTGTACCAAGGATTTATGCGTCGGTTGATACGAACTGGGTGGGGGCGGGTGTGAGGTAAAACGCGCATGATTGCCATTACATGGCAGATGGAGCTAAATGAAGGTGCTGGACGTATTTATAAGACGTCTTGTACGCCTGTTTGTACCAATATTGCATGGGTTTTGTGTTGCATATAGATGATTCAGACCATGTTACGAAGTGCGAAGCCTAGCCGGTGGCACTGCATTGTGGACTCAGGCAATATGCTAAATAGCCATCCACTGTGCTTGAAGTCTACCCCACATTGGTGTGCTGGACCTGGTAGATTTGTGCGCCAAACTCTAGCCAGGCCAAATTGTACTGAATTGTCGAATTATGGTTGTTTGAAACATTGTTTTCAGACTTCTTCTGCCTGAAAGTACCTTAGCCGTATCATAAGGCCGTCAAACAATGGCTATCGATTCCCTGGAATTGGCGGCAACTGTGTACCAAACCAAGAACCTTCCTCGGAGTGGCAGGGAATGCAGATGCTCCAAACCAACTTCGATGCCATTGTAAAGGGATGAGGTTAGATGATCTACCCCTCATTGCTGGTGAACATATGTTGAACTCTTTCCAGGCGTGCCATTCTGCCCGTCCTGCCAAGTGATGCAGCCTGTCAGGTCTTACCACTGTAGCACATGCAAGACATGCATAGAAAAGAGAGACCATCATTGCATCTTTACAGGTGAGAGGTGGTGCTTGATTTGATTTAAAGCATTCTACCAGGTATGTCATTTCAAGGAGCAGATGCAAGTTAAAGATAATTTAGAATGTTTTTGAATATTTGATAAGATGTAATCTTGGGTTAAAAGATATACATATAAGATGGGAAAAGCGAAAACCAAACAAGCTGTGGAGAGCTGTATTAGGTGCCTGTACTAGCATGCTGCGAATCGCACGTGCAGCCTGGGCGATGGGGATCGCGCGCCACACCCCTTCCGCGCATTGCCCCGTGTTTTCATGTCGCCCTTGCGGGGTGCTCGGTGTCCCGAGACTCCATGCCGCCCTCGCAGGGTGCTCTGTGGAGTATGGGGCCTCCGCGGGGTGGTGCGCATGTGATCTGCGCCCCTGTGACGGACACCCCCCGCCTCTGCAGGGTGCTGCGTCGGTCTGCGGAATCACCGTTACTTCGTGAGCGGGGTGCTGGCGGTGTTCGTCGGGGCCCTCTACGGCCTGGTGTACGAGTGGTCCATGGTGGTGGCTGCTGCTGGCGGGTCAGTACCTCTGCTCCAGTTTGACTTGGTTGATGTCGAGGCTGGCTGCATTGGCGCCGCCAGCCCTGATTTGGCCTAGCAGTGGCTGGCTTTGTTCACTTCATTTGTGTTTGGCCCAACTCCTATCGCATTCAAAGATAGTGAACGATAGGGGATCTTTCACGATTTGACCGTCGCAACTTCGTTATTTATGTGTGTTTCTGTTGCGATATGCGAGCATTAGCTGAACGGTATTCCGCGCGATTGGTAGATTCTGGCCCCTTGGTTTGAAGGCATGTTCTTGAAACGGTTTGACTCGGGTCGCTGAAATTTATACTTTACGTTAAGATCTTTATGCCTGTCGCGTCCAGGCTTCTAGACGCGACAGCGTGCGTGCGCTGGTGCGCACGCATGGTCCCAAGCCCCGATATTGATAGCGACCTCCAGTGAAAGTTAGCAATCATGCCAAGGTCGTGATCTCCCCGGAATAGCAGGCCCTTTGTGTGTTTACTGGATAAACTGATGTTTCTCGTGAATGAGGCTGTCGCAACATGAGCATTGTTATTGTCATGTATTGAAAGTCGCAAAGCGGAAACGCTTCTAAAGCTTGAAAAAGCAGCATGAAGGCAGTGCGCAACGTATTACGGGTCGTTAGTGCAGGAATATCAGGGATGCATCTGGATATCTAGGTGCAAATATTTAAGCTTCCAATAATTTTGCACAAATATCATGAAAGATGACGAGAAGCTTATCGAAAACTTGTTTCGATTGTTGGATCAAGGCCCTATGTTGTGAGCACGATTTCATCCCAAAGACGCGTCAGCTCATGAGAAAGCACTGTGACAGCGTTTTCTTTGCAATTCGTTTGCAGTATCTGAGACGAACGGTATACCATTGCAATACATAGTAAAACTATGGTTGATCTGTAATGCTTTCAGTTGGGAAAAATACCGAAGCATTTTTGGTAGGAGAAATATTGCCTGTCTGTGGTAAGCGAGAATGATACCCCGTAGCAATGTACCGATTGTGTGATACCCCAGTGGGTTTTATTGCTTGTGTTCCCCAAATCCTGGATGATTTTTGACTCACCGAGCATGCCACAACGCATTTTCTCAGGCACTCTTATTCCACAGTACCTGACATCGAGTTTCGAGTGGTTCCCTAGCCCCGTAGATAGTGCTTTTTTAGCCGACGTTTTTTCGCCAGCACGAATACCACTGCCGAACTGTGATGCTGATATGCGTCGAATACTGCGTTCGCTGCCGCCCGGCCGGGCCAAACCGGCGTGGTCTGACCGGTGGTCGCTGTGTTGGACCGGCAGGTACTCGCTCTGGCTGCCGGTGCAGCTGCTGGCCCCGCACCTGGTGCTGCCGTTCGGCGTGCTCGATCTCTGGGGCTTCGTGGCCTGCGCCCATCACATGCTCGGCACCGCCGTCCTGGTCAACGCCGGGTAAGCCCAGCCGCGTCACGAGACCATACGCCGACTGGTGGGATTCTGCAGTCAGTGTCTGCACGCCCGCACCGACGGCGCTGGTGTTGGATTACTAGCGATTTCTCAACAAGAGGGTGAACTCTTTAAAAAAATTGTACACTTAAAACAGATAAGCATCTGCATGCTATCCCTCCGTGCAGCCTAACTTTTCCAGCAGTATTCGGATATCATGCATCTATGATTTATGAGGTACATGCCCCTCGTTGGTGAACGTTGAAATCTAAAATTTGAGCACGCAGAAACTGAACAGCGTAGGTTGGCCCCGGGTCCAGATCTCGGCCACCTGATGTAGCGAAACGAGAATAACAAATTTTGCGGGGGAAAACGGACTATCATCTAGGTGAATGTGAGTTCATTTGTGCGGGTGGTCACTAACCCTCGTGCACAACGGACATGGATTGACGCAGTCTGGGACGTTTTTTAAGGCTTTATGTTAGATGACGGCGGCGAGAGAAGACGGGAGACGTGAACCGAATTTGGGGCCCGCCAACGGATCTCAAAACTGTCATGTCCGGTGATTCTCCAGCAACTGCCTGGGTAGTGATTGTAGTTACCTTTTCCGAAACCGGTCTCAAAGACCGTACACTAGCTTAAACCGAGATAGGTCGGTCGGGAGAGAAAGGAGGTCACGGAAACTGCACAGGTGTTTAGCCCTGTCTACTGTGGCCAATACCCTCCCCAAATATTTGTTTTGTGCCATATTTTGCTCGTAATTGCAAGAACCAAAATAACTGTAAGCTCATCGTTGTCTTGGGTCAAAATTGTCCAGCCGATTGACCATGTTGCCGTGGCCGCATGTGTTGCAGCAGTAGATCATCACTGACGGTCAAATTGTCTTGCAAGGTAGACTTTCTGCCGGATTATGTATCTGCCTCAGTGCTGGTTCGACGAACATCATTTCAGCGTGGTATGTAACAAGTTCCGACCTTCGTGAGAAGTATTATAGTGGCTTTTTGAAACAGCTGTATGTTGGCGCTGTACTGCCCGTGGTGCACCGTGTCAAGACGAAAAATAGATTATCGTTTAACCTCGCAGGTCCTTTCTAGGTCCATATTGCATAACATCCTTTGTGCGGTTCCAGGTCGATTCCGGCCAGACGAGTGGCAAATGATGGTAGTGTTCCTTGCTCCGCAGAGTTATTCTTTATACGCAGCTGTCCGCGCTGCTCCGGGGCCAGACGCAGTACGAACGCAAGCACCGGCTGCGGGAGTTTGACCGGGGCTGGCAACAGAACGTGCAGTCCGTGCTGGGCCACCGCTGGCTTTTGGCCCTGCTCTGGCCGCTCGCCCAGTCGTCGCTCCCACCCGACGGCGCGGACACCGAAGATGGCGACGCCAGTGCGAGTCAGCCGGCTGCCGGTGACGCGGCCGTCCCCGACGCTGGCGTACCGCCCGCAGTACCGTCTGTACGCGGAGAGGCAGTCCCGGCCGGCCTGTGCGGGCCGGCAAGGGCCGAGAGGTTGGATTCTGCGCGACAGGGTTTGACGAGAAGAGGTGCCAAACCTTTTGAGCTGTAGGTAGAAGACGAGAGCTGCACTACTTTCCGTTCAAAATACTCGAGCACGAGATGGGTGCTCGCGCTTGCGCAGGCGCAGTCCGGCGGACGCTGAGTCAGAAGTGAGCGTACGCGCCCTTTGCGTCGTTGATTTCCACGCAACACCAAAGTGGTCCTGGGTGTGTCCAAACAGGCAGAGGCTCTCTGTCTCCAGCTTCCTCCTCCGCGGTGGTCGCATATGCCAGTGTGTCGCGTGCTCTTTTTTAACTGTGCGTGTGCTATGCGTTCCGTTTTAACTAGATAAGTCGCTGAGAGGCATGTGAAAGGTGCAACAAAAACTGCGATCTCGTTGCAGGGATCGCGGTATTTTTCATGTCCGACATAGATACATGGTCATGTTCTTTATCACAAGTGCAATGGTCCACTATTGTTTGAATTGCCAGGGACACATGGGTAGTACGTACCCTCGCCGCTGATGTACTTAGTGGTGTGCTTTGTAACACTGTAGCTATTTTATTGCTAGGGTAACATTTCTGCGATCGAGCTTGTAAACAACTGCGGCTGTGTCGAGATTGCATTGTCAGTCACCTGAAGAAGCTGCGCGCGACACTCATGTGGTTTACTCACGCGTTCTCCGTCATACCGCAAATTGGCTCCACTCATCTTATTGGTCTCATGGCTCAGTCGGTCAGTATCACGGTAATTGCACAGCTGGCAGCATATGGTGGTAAAGGAGGTAGTGACAGACAGAATAAATAGTGACACTGACCACGTATGTGACAAAAACTTCCTGCTTGTAGGCGCTGGTGACGTAGAACTTCTAGCGCTGAGTGCGTGGAACCCGTGTTGACGACTATCACATCGAACGCCGAATAGTGACTCCGTGGCGGCGCCGGAGGAGTGCAGCACCTACGCCTCCGTTTTGATGAAGCGGTCTCGATATAGGCGCAATTCGGCGATGCTTTCACCGATGTCCTCGAGCGCGCGGTGGGCGCACAGTTTGCCGCGGCCGGCCTCGTACACGTCCGGTCGCCAGCGGCGCGCCAGCTCCTTCAGAGACGAGACGTCCACGATGCGATAGTGCAGGTGGGCGAGCAGGCGCGGCATGTACCGCATCAGGAAGACGCGGTCCATGTGCACGCTGCTGCCGGCCAGCGGACACTGGCCGGCCGGCGTCAGGCGGCGCACGTACTCGAGCAGGCGCTGCTCGGCCGTCGCCAGGTCCACAGTGCTGCGCCGTACGGCCTCAGTCAGCCCCGAGCGGCCGTGGTGCTCGCGGCACCACTCGTCCATGGCGGCCAGCGCTGAATCGGGCTGGTGCACGACCAGCTGCAGGCCCGGCTCCAGCGGCTGCAGCCGGCCGTCGGTGACGACGCACGCCGCCTCCAGGATCTGGTCCCGCTCCGGGTCCAGCCCGGTCATTTCCAGGTCGATCCAGACCAGCCGGTCCGATATCGAGCCGGCCATGGCGCAGCAGCGGCGCGGCGACAGCAGGCTCGCTGAGCCGCGCAGCAGGCGGGCCGCGGCGGACGGAAACAGGCTGCCGATGATGATCACAGCAGGGCGGCCGACCAGGCCTCGTGCGCACCTAACACAGGACAGCATGATCAGCAGGATGACAGGGATTCACCGTGACTACCAGTGGCATGTAAACGGCGCGGGAAATCATGATGGCTTTCATGATGCATCACGGCAAGACAAATGCAACAGGACATCAATTGCGATCAATGCATAACGACAACCAAGAAAAATAACGGTATCATCACAAAAGAACAGTCGGAAGGCACAAGATATTGTACTTTCGAATTCAATATCCCGTATGTAAAAAAATTGAGAGCCAGTGGTCACACACTGTTAGGGCATTGCGAATTCCAACACGAACAAATTGGAAGACGTAAAATGACCGGCAACTAGTTCCGTCAGCATGGCTATGTCTGTCTCGTACGGAGGTGCAGCTTCACACATATTGCTTGTTGCGAGAACGAAGTCTGAAAAGAATTACGGGGCTCGATGCATTTGCCTGGACCGGGAGCCGCAACTGACATACAAGCGGCACTGGTGGCTTCCGCCGGGAAGGCCCGGCGCCGCCGTGAGACCCGCACATCTCGGCTGACCGGGGTCGGGCCGGAGCCGAACTCGGTCATAAGCCAGCAGGCAGACATGACACAAAGAATATCATAAGAAGTTTCTTGCGTGAGATTGCGTCGGACAAGGTAGTATCTTATCAGTTGTTCCAGGCCTACTTCAAAAGATTGGTCCCGCAAAGAGCAAAACGATCCTTACAATGAGCCAAAATATTTTTAATTTTATTTTCCTTAATGTTTTAGGGATGGCTTTCGGTTTAAAGTACCTGCTAAGCATGGCTTGTTGACCCTGAACCCATCACCCAAGTCGTACCGTTCGGTTCAATAGACAATTTTGCCACCACTCTTTCGCCAGACAGGGACGCAAAGGGTTTTATGCGCCGCACCATGATGCGATACGGCAGCCCAAGGGTGGGGTTGACCCTCGTTGGCCTGCTGCCAGCTGACTTTTCCGTTTCAGTCGGGCCGAACAATGCGCCAGCGCTAGGACTCTTACCCAGTCCCTCCGAGTTTACGGGGCCAGCATCCTTCCCTTCGATCACGGAGACGGATCAGTTTCAGAGAAAAACTAAAGCGACACACCGAACTCTATAAAGGTCACAAATAATTGTGACCAATTGGCCCGGAACAACACACAAAAACGCCACGATAATAGCAGTATCAACACGTGATACTCAACTCCCATCGGGCTGACGTGCCTGCTGTCACTTTTCCAGATTCCGAAAACCCGCCCCGCCAGGTAGTCGAAGCGCGAAAGTCCGCGTCGCCCCATACGCGTTCTTGAAAAAGAGCAAGACAAGGCCTGTAAACCTGATCTTTCCTACAGATGCAAGCTAAGGTGTAGCAAAAAACCCAATTTTGGTGGAACATGAAGTTACACACACACTTGATGTTTAAAGCATGTATAAAGGTAACCCAATGGGACATCACAATTTACATGTCATCAACACACTGTCAAGGCACATCGCTCTTGGATTGGTCACGGCCTTTTGGCCGCCAATTGCAGCTCGTGGTTACCATCCACACATTAGTCTGTTGTCTTCTTTTTTGTGTTGTAGCCCATGCCAAATGGCCACCCATCTCAAGTAATGCATTACAATAGACAGCATTCATTGCCTGGTATAAAACTTCATCTGGCAAGTGCATGTGACAATTAGTCTTATGCAGGAATTTCATGGGAGACAGAAGCTGCTGGTGAATTCAAAAGGAATAGTATCATTTCTTTTTTCATGTAAGCAAGAAATGCCTCAAACTCCAGGCTTTTCAACATTGAGGTTATGAATCTGACACAGACATTAAGTTATGTGCATGAGTTTTCAACTACCATGTTTTGCTTGATCTTCTTTAGCCATGATCATAAGAATAGCTTTCAAACACAGGGTTTTGTACCAGTGCTTAATCGATACCTTGTTTGGCTAGTGACTCTTGCCAAATCTCTTTGCACACTGCAAATCCAGACTAAACACAGAGTCTTGCACCAATGCTTGCAAGATACCTTGTTTGACCAGTGCCACCTAGCACAATGAAGGTCATTTATTGTGACCATAAGGGCACACAACTTTCCTTTTTATCCCTGTCTACCAAATGACAAACATCAATAAACACTCCTCAGTCCTTCTAAAATTTAATGAACTGGGAAAGATGGGTGCAGCTAAACAATGATGAAGTAAACAACTAAATCTGCTCCCTGCATCAAATGCAACCTTAACATGCATTAACTAGTTCCATATTGAGGTTGACTTTGAGCTGGCATTCATGAAAGGCTGACCCATGATTCAGCACACTTTGATGTAACCTCTGTAGTTACTTCATTATTGCATCCCAGCATTATTGAAATATGATCAAAAGCTTGGTATCCCATCCCATCGCTACATTCCACCCTACCAGGTGCCAGCAGTTCCCAGTTGATTGGATTAGGCCATCAGTCCACTAAGCCACCAATTTGTGAATGATCAATAAATTGCAAATTAGCCTATTCACACCAGCATAGTTTGTTTGCACTGCCACTTAAATAACAATATCTTCTTCACACAAGCTGTGAGCAGTGAAGGTTGACATAAGTACCTTATATTACAAAAGGGCATCACACATTCATCATCTTCTCTAAGGTACCAAATATAAAAATAATCATAAAATAGGGAAAGAGACCAGAATCCAGCCTAACCCAGCCCAGCCCAGCCCAGCCCAGCCTGACCATACCAGTGTCACCTGACAAACCTCTTCCACTTGATGCACTGTGCTGCAACTGATGTCCTATTGACATCTGTGTGACCAGGGTGGCATACCAACATTTGACTGACCTCTGCCATTGTGATTATGATTACTATATTTTTAAGGTAAGATGATAAGATGTCCATGGAATTTTCCAGTTATATGATTACTTATGGTGTGTTATATCTTAAAAACACCAATCTGTGAATAATTCAAAATTGCAGTGTCAGGCACCAATGCATACCATGACTGAGAGCTCCATAACTAAAAATGATATTGTATCCTTAGCATACCAGGTGGTGCTGATTTACCACATTATTAAGCAGGTGCTGCTGCATATTAAGACCAAATTTGATGTTTCAGAGATAAGCATAGGACTTTGTGCAAAAATATGTCCACTTTGCACAGGTGTGTAGCCAGAATTTTCCTCACAGGGTAGTACATATCAAATTTAAGAGATACCACAAATTTTGAGCAGCATTCTGGGAAACCTATCAATATCTGGCATAAGCATCTTGACTCAGGAGGTGGGGCAAGACCCTATTGCCACCCCTTGCTATATCGCTGATTTTGTACATAAAACCCTAACAATACCCTATCAATGTCAGATGGTGCTGCCTCCCTCTCTCCATCCATAAATTGCTGGCAAGTAGCCCTACCACTATCCACACCCAAGGCATCACCTAGATACCACATTAGGAAAACAAAACAGATCAATGCTAAGATACCACATCCGACAGCACTTGTTACAAAGCGAGTATTGCATTCATAATTCATACGACGCAATACCTTCGCGTTTTCCTAGAAAATCCACACCGGGGTAGCCAGAAATGCATACCATAAGCAAACCCACATGGTTCATTCACACCAGAAACATTACGAGCTGTGCCAACGCCCTGCTTACACAAAGCCCGGCTTGAACAGTGAACCGCAACTTCCTGCATGTCTCCTTACGCAATATGCATCGAAGCGTAAGGCGCGTACCCACCCAGGTATGCAATCTAGTCCTGTTTCAGAGACTAGTGATAAGGGGCTATATCACCCCGGTGCGTCTTTTGCCACCCGCGACCCCCGCCAGCTGTCCACAAACTGTAATGAGCGGGTGAGGCGTCAGCTGGCCTGGTAGCAAACTTGTTAGGTAGATACGCTGGGCGAAGAGCCTTGTGTCAGTGTAACAAACTGCCAGCTAGCCACAAAGGAATAAAGCCACTAAGGTACGAAACTAACGTTATACTACGTTTGAGCGCGCGCCTGGGTGGCCGGTTGGATACCCTCCGCTCGGGTGGCGGTCAATTTGACCCCCTGATATCTCAACAACTAAGAAGGCTAGTAACACCATATTCACAGGGCGTGTTGGCGTGTGCGTGGACTCACTAAGGTCACATTGTGAGGTTCCTAGGTTATGACCTGCGGGTCAAATAAGGTTAAACAAGGTCAAACTCCAAGCCGGTCTCCAAACTGTCCCAGAACCTAGATACCCGTTCTGGGCAAAAGATCACGTGCTCATTTAAGGTCAGTGAGCTTGTTTGACCTTTCGAAGGTCATGGTGACCAGAATCACAGAATCCTGCTTTGAGTTTTACATTTGAATAAGCGATAAATATTAAGCTGGGCAGGCAGGAACGAAATCTTGACCAAGCTCATTTCACGTCAGTGACCTATTGGGACCTTAAAGAAGTCCATGGCGGATGTCTAATGCGGTTGCTGTTATCAATCATTTCAGAATGAGCACCAAAAAACTGTCTCATACGGCAAGCCAAAGAGCAAAAAAACACGTTGGTTTTCACCTCAGTCTGACACTCATACATGACCTTAGGTCAATAGAGTTTGGTCATACAACTGCTGTGATGCCTAAGAAAGTATCTCATAGATGTAAGGCTTCGTTCAACACCCCGGCGTTCCATCAGATTGCACGCTCCCCTAGAAATCGGCCTCGCCGAATCCATGGCCTGACTTTGACTTGTAGGTTAACGACCTTACAACGTACATCTATTTTTTTCATACCGCACGATCCGCTATTCAGTTGTCTAAAGTCATGCAAAATTAGACACGGCTACACCGTGCCGTTCGGAAACCATTCCGGAAAAACCCTCTTGGGGGTCATTCCATCCCCCGCCCCAGCGCGTATCAACCCACGTTCGGCCAAGCGTCAGAGACAATCGCGCCCGGGTGGGGAAAGTTGGCCTCCACCCGAGACCTCCCACTTCCAGACGCCATTCAAGAAAAAGAAAAACACCGTTTAGACAGTTTCGTCAAATCATGAAAAATGCACGCCAAAGTTTTCACATTAGGTCAAATCTGACGTCATAAGCGCCCACAAAAGATAAAAAACGGTCGTTCCGATAGACGCAGTTAAAACCTACGTTAAAAGCCAAGGCGGGTATTGAGGGCACACAAATACGTGTCAAGCCTGTGGAAGTCCATTCTGGTCATATCTGTCCTCAACATCGGTCCGGTAGGATCGGGTTACCGTCGAAAATTGGTCAATCAATAACCCATAAAAGCGATACTTTCTTCACAATGTGCTTCTGATCAAGTATATTTTATTAGGTGTGGCTGTGGAAGAGCAGTATTCCAGACACAAAAGCACCATTTTATTCAACCTAAAGGCCATAGAAGTAAAAGTATTCAAGATCACATACGTGCTGTTAACATTATACCCAAACCCTTCAACGCTTGGCCATGTATGTGTAACAAACTGAGAGTAGACATATTGGTACATGAAATTAGACGTCATCAACTTCACAAACAAGACAACGAGGTGGTTTCACGCGTCGCATTTATTCGTTGATCTAGTCCCTCCGCTACCAGCAACATAGGTCACCGACCTTGGATGACCTCATATGACCTTGCACGGCCCTCCACGATCTATTACACACACACACACGCACGCACCACCACGCACGCACGCACGCCACGCACGCATATATATATATATATATATATATATATATATATATATATATATATATATATATATATATATGTATATATAATCACCTCAACATGCATTCAAATAATATCGCACGTATTAAGCGGAGCATTCGATTTCCGTGCGCAAAAGTGTCTTTATTAATACAGCCAATGGAGTTCAGCAAGTGTTTTGCAGAACATATCCAAGATATAGGACTTGCCCTGGGCCTAAGTCACGTGCTCTGTGGTCATATAATCGTACAACTTTGAATTATGACCGAAAAATGGCAAAATTTACCTGACTTCAGGTAAGTGACCTGGCATGTTCCGAAAAGACTGAAATGTATAATTTGTAGGTAGTGTCATGTTCTACTACGATAAACACCTTGGACACTGACATAAGACCTAAAAAAGTTAAGCGTGGCCACAAAATTTTAGAGGTTGACCTTTTTGGCCCGACCTAGGTCGCTGACCTTGGCAGTTCAAAGCTTTAGACTTGCACACAGGGTGTCAACCTGATAGATAAACGGCTATAAAAAATTTCGGGTCATTGCGAGCATTTTTCTTTGATCTGTGCTCGAAAGACCGTGGGGGAGGGAGAAGTCAACTACCCCTCCCCGCCGGGTGCGGGTTAACTACTCTCTCTCCGGTGTAACCAGGGACGTCGTTTCACAAAATTAGTTGGGGGAGGGCCGGATGAGTATTGTAGCAGAGGCCCCAACTTATCCAAAGTATTGGGGGGGGGGGGGGCAAGTAAATGCTGAGGGCTCACGTAGGAATACAAATCGACATCCATGACCAGCCCGGCACATATTGGGCAAGACCAGGGGGAGGGGGGTCACTAAGTGTGTTGGGTCGGGGGGGGGCCGACTGTTCAGGAACTGATCCTCGTGAACAAAATGGGGCCTCCTCACAAGGAGCTTCCAGGGCCGTGTCAAATTCAGGGGAAGGGGCACCGAGGACGTGCACCCTCTTGTCCAACTGGTATATGCATCATATCCAAGCAAATAAATGTCGACTCCTAATTATTCAATGAAGGGTCTCGCTGCCCTAAAGTAGGGCCACTAGTTCCAGAAAAGCGCCTCATCATTATTTGTTAAGGAGGTCTCAAGATCCAGTAAACGAACCTCTAGATGTAGAAAAGGGTCTTCCGAACCCAATGCATTACTCTCTAGTTCAGTCATGGGCCTCCTTGATCTGAGGTTTGGTAATCTACGGGTAGCTACTTCGCCTTCAGTGTGGGAAAAAGGGGCCTCCCAAAATCTTAAGGGGCAAAACCATTCTCCTGCCCCCCCCCCCCCCCCACATACTGGATCTATTATTTATAATTGGAAATGATATAGTCAGTAATATGAAGCACGTGCCTGGATTAAGCAGCAGCCATCGTGTGACAATAACTTTCAGGCTGGTTTCCCACTCGCAGTGAATCTTGCTAATCTAGCGCTCGTGGGGGCTTGACATACATGCCAGCAGCTTGGTGACCAGTCGTACCTAAGGTTATTTTCTTTGCAAAAAAGAAAAACCTTGCTCTTACAGCCACAAAGTAATCGCGGCGCAGAAAAAGAGATCCGCGTTCACCGTCGACCAGCTCCGGAACGCTGCACGAATGAAAGAAGGGGTGTTCTCCTAACACACCATGCATAAGATTACTGCAAACTACGTTGAAGGAAATGTCCCACATTTGAAGATATTAAAGCAAGATGAAGCAAGATTTCATCATATCACACACGATGAAACCAGCTCACTTACTACTAGGCACCTCAATATGTCACTGTTGGATTACGTCATCGTACCTTGCTGAGTATTGATTAGAGCCAATTGACGGCCGTTATATCTGGAATTCGTGCCAACGATCGCCAGATATTAACGGCTCGACAAGCATATTTTGAATGGCCTTGATCACCGCATGGCCAACGCAATGGCAGAATTTGAATGATGCTGGGCTGGCATCATGAATTCTGGGTGGCCTTGAAACAGTCTCCTCAAAATAGCCTGCCTATCTTCGCAGGCGTTTAGCTCAGAAACTAGAAGGGTTTAGGTATTAAGAAAGAGATGCTATTAGCTGCGTAAATATGTTCCTCGCTACGCCATTGTACGGTTGTGTCATGGAACGTTCGTATGACGTTGGAATACTCCAAAGGCTTGTCACCCTAGCACCCATTTTTAGTACTACAATCTCCCGAGAGGTGGCCATGGCGGAGCTGAGGTTTTTGCTGAACCATATATTGTTATGTGCTCGTGTTTTGGCTCCTCCTCGTGGTGTTCTTGCATATTCATCCGTGAGGTTAGGGTGATGACATGTCATTACACACTTGGTTACGGGCTACTCTTAAGCATTTGATTATAAGTCTTATTTCGAAATAAGATATTGGCGCTAGTTAGTACGGGCCGTAATAAGTAGAGCCCATGTCCAACTCTTATATTGTATAGCACAAAACGTAATTCGTGATTGAAACCTGTGCAGCCTGCTCGATATTAATTGAGAACTAGTTGGCGTCCAATATGTCAGGAAAACGCGCTCAGGAACGCCAGATATGAATGGCTCGATGATTATATGCTTCGTGGCCTTCAACGTCACATGGGCAATGGGGGTCGCAGAATTTGAGTGACATTTTATTGACGTCATGCATGCCTGACTATCCTTGAAAAAGTTTGCACGAAATCGTATGCACATGTTTGTGGAGGCGTGACTCAGTAACTAGAGGGGTCTAGGTCTTAAGCAGGGCAGGGCCGTGAACTACACCGAATAATCTTCAAAATGGCTGCTTTATTTCAACTCCCCATTCAATTCTAGAACACTCCTTTTCATTAACAACTATGCCTGATCACATTTTCACATTATATTCTACTGACTTGATTTCAGGACCTCGCAGACATCTTAGCCCAAATTAAACTTCTAAAAGTTCAGCAATCGACTTGTAAGAGCCCCCATTACAATCACGGTTCCGCACAAAAGAAATGCAAGCACACACTACCTCTCCCCCCTTACAATTACCCCGTAGTCACCTCCTCTTTCGCCGTAGCCGAAAGAGATCACGGTACAAAGCACCACGATTCATGGCCCATACGCATTTCACTGGATCACGCATGACCGGAGTCGTCAGATTTCTAAACATCTGTTGCTGTCAGTCGGTGGGTCTTGGCCATCCAATGCCTGTCATTAAATGACCATACAAGTCA